AAAATGTCTTCTTACACATAAGTCCGATCCCTCTGTTCTACTGTTTCAATATTCAGTCTGTTCTGGGTTGTGCTAGATGTTTTGATGTGTTCCAAATACATTGATTTGTTGTTGTTGCAGTGCCGACAGATCTCGCGTGAAGACAAGCGTGCATTTCGAGCTCTGATAAGCCGGTGGACCAATGTCGAGTTGGCGGCTTTATTCACTGAAATGGAAAGTGCCTGGGCCGTGCGGGAGATGGTGCTGTTGGCAGAAGAAGCCCGTCCGAGCACCTCTTCGCTTGCAACTGACCTTCTCAGTGCTTGGCAGAACGAAATCGTCACCGATTGCTTCGTGATTCATAAGGTAACCTGTGATGCACTACTCTGTTTTGTTGAAGCTTCTAACAATCCCTGAGCTGGTTCCGAATATTTCCATTTATTTCGGCTTTTAAAGATTTTTTGGTTTGTGGCATAATTGTTCATTCAGTTTTTTTGGATACAGCGCGAAATTCTATCTTTAGTATTGCTGCCTGAGGCACGAGCATCCCTACATTAAAATTTATCAATTACGACCGATCCATATTTTCTACGATTTAGACTGGGCGTTTACTCCAGAAATTACTGTTCAACCTACCAAAGGCCGCAAATTACTTATCAGTTTAGCCCACTCCGGCCGCTTCACTTGAACCGTCCAATTATGATTCGGTCTTCTAATGGCTGTTACTTATCATTACTTTTTTATGAGATGCGCACATTCTGATAAAGCCCTAGGCTATTGTGTGAGCATGGATTTGCACATTGATAGATTAAGCTGGCTGGTAAAATCTGTAGCGCACAGCGTCTTTTTGCGTTCGAAGGGTACACTAAGTGCGAAGTTTCGTGCACTTAATTAATCGGCATCACAATCGTGGTACTAGCAAAGTCCAGCTGAATGGGAATGTATACAGCTTGAAGAAGCGAAGCATTCCTCTTCCACTCATTTTTTTTATTAATTTGTTTTATATATGTATATATATATACACATATATATACATATATACATATTTATACATGTATATACATATATATATATATATATGTATATATACACATATATGTATATATCATCCGCATTTGTATGTTGAAGACAAAAAATGCGGAAGGTTTTGTTCTCTGAACAAGTTTATTTGTTCGCAACTGGGATTTTTCTTCTTTTTCTTCAGAGTGTTCGTTATGCGGCGCATTCATTTGTGCTTCGTGCTCGGTGCCGTTATTTTTGCGATTTCTGGGATTCGCTTTTTGTTGAACCGTCAGCGGATGGTAACACCGTCAGTGTAGCGTTTCCGCACGATAACACCTCATCCGAAATGTTCAAAGCAATGTTGTATTATATTTATACCGGTGAATATGACAAATCGTTGAGCGAAGGTGATCGTCAGCATCTTACTACTGTTTTACAGAGGTTCCGTTGTGTTTTTTTTTTTTTTTTTTTTTTTTTTTTTGAGCCTTGCTGCAAATCCACTGACTGTAGCATTGAATTGCGGCATT